GAGGACACATGTGTTTAGTACATTGTCCTCCAGGCAAGGGCATCCAGGGATTAAGCATAAGGATTCCAGTAAACACCCAGGGGTCTGCACATGCACAGACTTCTTTGGAAAGGTCAAGGAATAATTAGGGGCGCCGCCTTTGACACTCCCCTAAGCCTCCCCTAAGTCAGAATTCTGATAAACAGGGCAGGCAGCCTTCCACACACTTCCCTTTTCTCAGAATGTCCTCCTTACAACTTTCCAACCAAGTCTCCTGTGCTCCCCAACACACTTGGTGAATTACTAGCTTCCTGCCTCTGTTTGGTTATCTTTGGATTTCTTGTTCACCAGACCACATTTGCCGCATTCATTATTTTTTTAATCCTCACCTGAGGATATGTTTCATTGGTTTGAGAGAGAGAGAGGAGTAATGTGAGAGAAAAACATCAATCAGTTGCCTCCCACATGTGCCTGGACTAGGGACGGAACCCGCAACCCACGTATGTACCCTGACAGGGACTCAAACCCCCAACCTTTTTGGTTGGATGCTCCAACCAGTTTTGCCAGCAGGCCAGAGCTGATGTTATTTATTTTATTGGATAAACATAGATGCTGATGTGATCATCTACATAATTTCTGTAGAACAGTGACTCGAACTTGAGTGTAATGAATGAGCTTTAACTTGGGAGAACATTTAAACCAGGGTGGGCAGGTTGCAGGCCTCCTGCTCCCATGAGCACATACGGAGAAGAGGAGGGGTAACGGAGGGGTGTTTTCCTTGACTGCAGTAGTTTGCCACAGCTCCTAATTGCCCTGCTGCTCATCTCCCTCATCCCACCTCCCCACCACCACTCAGTTTTGTGCCAACAGAATCACTTTTCCAAAGCACAGGTTTGGCCCATTCACTCCTGGTTGCTTCCTGGATCCAATTTAAAATACAAGAATACAAGAATCCTCAAAAATGGCCCTTATTTATTTTATCAATCTGCCAATCCTTGTCCCCACTATAAATTTTAAAAAATATCTTTACCTTATGCCATTATTTCCCACCCCACCCCCCACCCCTTCAGCCCCCAGCACACACACCACACTCACACTCTCTCCAGGCATTGGCTATTGTACTTGGGGTTCCCTGGGGTGAAATGCTCCTTCCCCAGTGAGCCACCTGATGAAACTCTATTCATTCTTTGAGACCACATGTCACCTTCTCTCCAAAGCCTTTCTTGTTCTTGACAAATGTACTTGCTCAATCTTCCTTGCTCTTTGTTTATATATCGATTAGAACTCTTCTTTCTCTAAGTGAATATAGATAGTATCTTCCTAATCCATGGTTTTATCATCTTTTCATTAATCCCACCATGCAAAAAATTTTACTCACATCTTGGCATGTGGGGATTTAAAGATGACTAAAGCTATCTTACTCCTTTGAGAGCTCATAATCTAATGACAGGCTCACATATAAGCAAATAAATACTGTGCAGTATGATAAATGTTCACACATCGATGGCTTGTTTTATCAATTCCAGCATTTGTAGCATCCACCAATGGCAAGTCAGGGCTCAATCATTTTCTGAACAAATGGAGGTGTGCATTAATATGGGACAGAGGAATCAGTCATCGTTAGCTTAAATCAGTACTCCAGGCTGCAGTTATATGAGGCAATTTTAAGAGGTACATGAACAAAACATTTTACTTTTAAAAAAGTTTTGTATTTACTATATTGTATGTAAGAAAACATATAATTGTTTATCAAACCCATACTTTTAACAATACTATACATATGACGTTAATACTAAGATAATGTATCAATTTGACGGCAGAAAACATTGTTGAAGTTTGAGAAATACTGACCTAAACAAAGTAATTTTCACTGTTTCCTTTTCCTTAGGGTTTACTCCTTTCCTGAATCCAGTCTACATAAACTTACCTTTAGAATTTCTGGAACCTCTTAAAATAAATCATTGTACTGTGAAAGCTTATGACCAAGGGGAATTTTTAACTAATTAAATCGTTAAAAAGATAAGACTAAGAACATTGTGTGTGTTTTGAAGATGAACCAAAACATATTTAGAACTTATGTCATTTCAAAAGGGATTCTGTACATTCTCTACATGAATGTCCTGATTTTCACAGGTTGGGACCTGCTTAGGTGACGAGGAATGGGCCTGCCCATGGGTTGGGTTGTTGTTGATATGAGGAAGTGGGAAGAACGGGAAATGGCCTCCCCAGGCTCCTGAACAGTCGAACAGGGTTCTTTGACATTTAGGATACAACACTAGTTACATGAGGATGACAGCAACTCTGCGAAACCAGCAGGGATCTGTCTTTGTCCCTCATTCACTGTTCCCTAGCTGCCTGCTTTTTTCTCTGCCTGCTGCTGCTCTCCCTCTCTCTGCCTCAGGGCTGTTGCTTGCTAATGTCTCTATGGGTCTCAGCTTTTGCCGTACTGCCTGCGTTTGGAGTGATCAACTGAACCAAATTTTCCCAGGACTTTCCCGGTTTTAGCACCAAAATTTCTGCAACCTGGGGACACCTGAAGTCCTGGGCAACTGGGTCTCTTGGTCACCTCTACATTCCTTTTCCATACATCTCATTCATATTCCTAAAGAAAAAAGAGGGAAGATATGACGGGGTCTCTTGGCCCCGCCCCAGCCCAGAGCACCTGTGCTCTTCACCTTCAAGCCGATCCCTGCAGAGGGGACCCAGGTGAGGCTTGGGGTGGCGCAGAGAAGCTGTTCCTCAGCTGGAGCCTGTGAACAAGGCACGTCTGGAATATGATCAGCTCCTCTCTGGTCCGCTGTGTCACGTTGTACACCCGTTTGTCACTGACCAAGGTCCTGGGGTCCTTAGGCACATTGGGCAGAGGTGTATGTGGAATGGGGAATGTGTATATGGGGGGGGGGGGAGGCAGGTAGAAACTACTGGTTATCATGTCCTTCTTTTCACTTTTATGAATTCAGTCATGTTACACAGAGTAGACTCCTAATATTGTGTTAGGGACACCCTGGTCTGACCTCTAATTAAATTGTATCTCATTCAACCTTCCAGTCAAGAAATTGTTAAGTTAGCCCTAGCCAGTTTGGCTCAGTGGATAGAGTGTCGGCCCTCAGACTAAAGGGTCTCTGGTCGATTCCGGTCAAGGGCCCAGACCTTGTTTGCAGGTTAGATCCCTGCCCCAGTCTCCAAAGTGTGTGGGAGGCAACCAGTCTATGTGTCTCTCTCACATCAATGTTTCTCTCTGTGTGTCTCTCCCCTCCTTTCCCCTCTCCCTAAAAACCAATGGGAAAAAAATCCTCAGGTGAGGATTCAGAACCAAAAAAGGAAGGAAGGAAGGAAGGAAGGAAGGAAGGAAGGAAGGAAGGAAGGAAGGAAGGAAGGAAGGAAGGAAGGAAGGAAGGAAGGAAGGAAGGAGAAATTGCTAAGTTTGCAAAAGGGTGCATTTAAAGAAAATAGCATAATTTGGGAAATAATGAATGCTAAGATCTAGTAGCACGTGGAGACAAACACCAAGTTGCCCATGGCTAAAAGTCAGAGAAGCTGAGCCCTAGAAGAGTTGGTCAGTGCAGGGTGATGGGGTGTGTGGGGGGGGTCTTCTTCCACTTCCCCAGTTTCAGCACTCCGCCCTCCCACTCGGCTCCAGCAAGCAGATCCTTCCTCAGGAAAACTGTTCTTCCCATCTGCAAGGAACAGAAGTTCTCCCCTCCCCGTAAATTCCGTGGACTGGAGTGGGGAGAGAAAATGAGCTCACTGTAAAAATACTTAAGTTCAGAAGCACATGATTGGTTTTCAAGAAACGACGATAAAACTAGAGGGAGCGTGGGTGTGAGGGGAAGCTGGAGAGCAGAGGTTCCAGTGGGATGTGCTGCGGTAGCCCCGCCCCTGCGGAGCCCGTGGCCCTGGGGACCACCTGCCCCATCCCCACCATAGGAGCCCCCGCACCTTAGGAGCCCCCCCCCCAACACACATGTTCAGAACTCCCAGTGCCCAAGGAGCCCCTGCGCCCTCGCAGTGCCCACAGCGTGCACTCCATGTGCGGGATGACCCTGCCTGCCCCGCACCCTCTCTTGGTCACTGCTCACAGCCTCCAGCGGGTGGAAGGGAAGGCATGCACTCGCAATGAGCCTTCCATGCGCTATTGTCTGTGTCTCTTAAAAATAAAATTCGTGACTATTACTAAGGCTAAGAACTGACGAAAAAGTGAAAAAACACAAAAACTAGATGAGTTATTGAAACAGAACCTATGTTAGAGTTCATTTGGCAGAGAAGATATAGAGGCCATCAGTCCAGTTTCAAATGGGGCTCCCCTGCCCTGGTAGGGGAGGTGCGGAGCTCTGAGTTCTAGCGCTTGGGGCGGGGAGAGCAAAGGGTCTGGAGAAGCAATGAAGGAATCCTCTCCCCCCCTCCAGGACCCCAGGGCCCTGGCACAGATCCCTCTTTCTGCCGGATCAAGGTCACCACAAGGGCCGAGCACCCAGAGCCCTCAAACCCCACCCCTGCTGCACCCACCACCACCACATCCAGCCTCATGGCCATGCCTGCACCCTGGCTCACCTCACAGGCTCTTCCCCTCATCTGACCACATCCAGCCTCCTCTCCATCATCAGTGATGGCTGATCCCAGCCTCATCTCCTCAGGGAAGCCCTGCCCACCTGGGAGGTTCATGGCATGACAGAACAGCACACAGGCCGGCACACAGCACACACCAGGCTCAATGAACAGCTTGTACAGCAATGCCCCCCAAAGAGGACCAGACCTAGTCCCAGACCCAATTCTGTGGTTGAGAAGAGAGGGGTTTTAGAAAATAGGTATACCCTTCCCTTAACCTTCCCTGACTTTATTCTCCATTTCAGCATAGCAAAGGGAATTAGAATAATTTGAGGGATCCCCTAGGCCAGCCGTGGGCAAACTACGGCCTGCGGGCCAGATCCGGCAGTTTGAAATGAATAAAACTAAAAAAAAAAAAAAAAAGACCTACCCTTTTATGTAATGATGTTTACTTTGAATTTATATTAGTTCACACAAACACTCCATCCATGCTTTTGTTCCGGCCCTCCGGTCCAGTTTAAGAACCCATTGTGGCTCTCGAGTCAAAAAGTTTACCCACCCCTGCCCTAGGCAGTTGTGAGAAAAGAGGATAAAAGGCCCTAAGTAGTCAGCAAGTGTAACAGAGTGAAGACTGACAGGAGATGGCAGAGATGGAAGCATGACTTGAATTAACTCTTTAGACCTCAGTTTGCTCACCTGCAAAATGGGGGAGTGTATTCGGGTGAGGTGAACCACATGGTCCCGATTTCATGGCGCTGCAACTTGTTCCCCATAATTCTTGTGCCCCCTGCACAGCTCACTGTAGCTTTGAGGGAGGGCATGTGGGGAAGGGTCGGGGCAGAAAAGGCCAGAGAACCCCCTTTCCAGTGAGGCCTCAGCAAATGCTCAATTGAAAGGGTTCAGCGAGGAAGCACGCAGGGTGCTGTGTCTGTGGAAGTTCTCGCATTCTCATGGATTCGATCCTGGGCCTTTGGGAACTCTGTAGAACATGTCAGGGTTTAGCTCAGTCCAGGATATACAAGTTGCAATTTTCACTTAAAAGTTGCCACCTGGAATCCAGACTTGGTCTTCGGTGGCCAGGAAGCAGAGCTGAGCGTGGGTTTCTCCCCGACCTGCTGCACACATGGCAGCTCCAGCTCCAGTGCTTTGCAGACGTGGTCTTTGCTTTCCGGCATCTTTCAACCTAACAGAGATAAAAAGAACCCCGATAAAAAGGGACTTCAATGGAGTCTCTTGAAAAGAAAGCAGATATGCTTAAAGTATTAACACATTGGCTCTAAGTGTAGTTCATATTTATAACCGCATGAGGAATTTGTATGGGGTGTGGGAAGAAAGTTCCAAGACATCGAAATAGAGAGACTTGAGAGGTGGGGGCTCGGGGCTACCTCACTTCTCTTGGCTAGCCGGCTCTCCTCTGAGCAGCTGGGACCTTAAGGACTGCAAGGAAGAGCAGGGAGATGGGTGACCTTCTGGAGAGAATGCTCCAGATGAAAATGGTGACCTGGTTTAAAATGCTGTTTTGACGAATGAATCATGCAGAAAATCATACCATGGAATTTGTGTTTCCTGGTGGGAAGTTGTTGGTGAGGCTTGTCATACAGCTCTAATGAGGTTCACACCTTTAATTAGTGCTTAAACTTCTCTGGCGAGGTCTGTGTGGGGAAACTCAGACAGCACTGTTATGCTCATTTCACATTTGGAAACTTGAGGAGCACTAGGGCTTATCTTGGACTACACGTGGGTGACCATCTGGGCTGGGCTGCCAGGAACAGCAATGGTTCCTGCATCTTGTCTTACTGTCATTATTAATAGTGCCCCCATTCTCTGTCACCAGCCCTTTGGTTTACATCTAAGTATAAGGTCACCCTGGCCAGCTGACACACTGCTGGCAACACTAGGACTGAAGACCCTACATTTCAATCACCAGGTCATCCATGTAAGCAGATGTTTTCCCAGTTGTCAAAAGTCCTTAATGAGTTACAGGGTGACATACAGCAATGTGTCCCTTAGAAAGGCGACATGTAACACATCAAACATGAGGTCTCTGGTTGAAACATTTTGGTTTTGTTTGTTTTTCACTTTGTTTTGTTTTTCTTTCACGGTTATCAGTGCCTTTGAAAATCACATTTATGACCTCAGCAAGCACTGGTTATTTCTTTTATGTCCTAATGTTGTGATTTGAAGCTATCTTATCCTTAGGATTAAAAGAAAAATTGAAACATATCAGAGTAATTCCACGTATGTTTGGTTCTAGCAATGATTTCTCTCTTGAAAAACTTACATAAAGGAGGTTGACATGCTTTCCATAGTCCTATAATTATTTTAAAAAATATATTTTATTGATTTTTTACAGAGAGGAAGGGAGAGGGGTAGAGAGTCAGAAACATCCATGAGAGAGAAACATCGATCAGCTGCTTCCTGCACACCCCCTACTGGGGGATGTGTCCGCAACCAAGGTACATGCCCTTGACCGGAAATCGAACCTGGGACTCTTTCAGTCCACAGGCTGACGCTCTAGCCACTGAGCCAAATTGGTCAGGGCCGCAGTCCTGTAATTTAATTGGGCTGTTGAGAAGTCATATGTAATTATGATTAATGTCCATTATGATAGATACCCCTTTAAGTTGTGTTATCAAAACCAACAAGGAGCCAGACTGCAAAATCACCATCTTTCATCCCATCACTTGCCTTTCCTTTTATTTTATTTTAATTTTTTAAAATATGTTTTTTATTGATCCAGAGAGAGGAAGGGAGAGGGAGAGATAGAAACATCAATGATGAGAGAGAATCATTGATTGGCTGCCTCCTGCACCTATGGATCGAACCCAAAATCCGGGCATGTGCCCTGGCCGTGACCTCCTGGTTCATGGGCCAATGTTCAACCACTGAGCCACACTAGCCGGGCTTGTCTTTCCTTTTAAATGACACTCTTTTGGTATGTTAGTTCATTTTGAGTCATGAATTGCCAACATGGAGTGATTAACCAAGAAATAGTCTTGCACCTTCCTTGGTTAACAGAAATGGGGTTGAACATTTAGCCCCTGGTATCATTATTGTAGCTCTCTATATAACTGGAGGAAAATCAAATTTCAAGTTTTTCCCGCTTCCCTTCTGCCTTTCACAGCAAATTTCAAAGGATAGCAGTAGGCAGATTGGTTTATAATGGCATTTTTTAAGCCCAGAAATTACATTAAACCGAAAAGCATGGTGTACTTCAAATAGTTTTATTCCAGAAAACATCTCCACAGCAACAGCAATGACAAGAATCGTATTTTTCATGAAGATCTGACTTACAGAGCTTATGTCGATGGCAGAGTTCAGTTACTGTTTTCCAGAGTCCCCTCTCAGAAAAACTGACATTCAGCAAAATGTTCATAGGAAGTTCTGTGTGCTTTGGGGAGAAATGTAGAGTCAGTGCAACAACAGCATTAATACAGCGCCTTCTCACATTGTTTTCCATTCCTGTGCTCAGGGAGGAAGAACAAAGGGCTAGTAACCAGTCCAAAAGAAGCTTTTCCCCGTAGAATGGTCAGGAAGTTGAACTATTCAAGAGAACATGTCGTGCTGTAATATACGTCCAGATTTCATGGTCCTTGATGATTTATGTCAATTCACTGGGAATGCCTTTCTCTGTTGTGCATTCCACATAGAGTTTGGCTTTCAGGAATATCTACAGAGGAGGCAGTCTGCTTTGTCCACTGGAGAGAGGAGGGTCCCAGCACGTGGTCTGCTGAGGGGGTGCCTGGGGCGGCCTGGAAACTAAACGGAGTTCAGAACTAGTGGGAGAGCTGCCCCCATTATGTCCATCTGGGGGTTAATGGGGCCCCTGAAGGGCTGTTCTCACACTTTCCAGATAGCCCCAAGAAAGTATCATTTGCATCTAAAAATGGATTTTTTTCCTGCTTGGATCGAACTAGTTAGGAACTCACACACACTTGGGGCAGGGCCGGGTGCTGTGTGTAGTATGTGCACTCTTATCTCTTTCACTCTGGGGATTTTGTCTCTGTGCTATGTCAAGTGACAAGGAGGAGCTGCTAGGAGCAGGCTGTTCACACACCAAAGCAAATCGGGTTGGTGTTCCAGCCCCAGGACCAGGGACATCTGGTTTAGACTGACACTCTGGTGTTGCAACCTCTTCTCTCCTGTCCCTTCCTCTCCCCGCCCCTGCCCCCCCCTCCCCCCTTCCTCTCCCCTCCTTTTCTCTCTCTCTCTCATCAGACCCCCCATCCTTCTGACATTAATAATTTGAAGACAAATAACAACAGCTATACAAGGATCAGGATAACCTGGACCTGAGGGACTGAACGCAGATCCCTCCTGAACCTGAAGACATAGTAAGGTTAAAACAAGTTTCATCTGGCATTTGCCTGAGGGCCACCAGTACAGACACTGTGTAAGATTAGATCCTCCTTAAAGCAAGATGACCTACTAATTCCGTTGCAAAATCATGGAGACCTCGAGTACCTGCCCTGTCCACCCACCTACGTGCATGCATTCATAGGAGATTCACCACATCTTAGATTTCAGGGCAAGTCCTGTTCGGAGTTTCTTCTTCCCTTTCCATTGTGTGTTTGGCTCACTCCCTGGCACGTCCACTTTCCTTTTGGTCTATATCCTTTGTCCTCTAGGGGCTTCCGCATCTGTTTGCCCTAAATGGCCAAAATATGTCCCCCACACGGCCAAACGCACAGGGACCCAAGGTCAGAATCTGGAGGATAGGCCAGCCATTGTTCTGCACCAATTCTTTATCTAAATTAATCTAAAGCCTTGCCTGATTGGCCTGTGACCTGGGTCAAGGTATGGTCAGCAGGCTGACCATTGTCCTGTTCCCCCCTCAACTGAAGGGGCCCACTACACATTACAATATCACATTCTTCCTACTAGTGGTTGTACTACTTTTAGATATTGATGTTGCTTAGATTATTTTTCCATCTTTTTTTGTGAACATTGTGCCTATTTTCACTTTCTGGGAAATTTGCCAGTTTTTCAAGGACTGGGCAAAAAACAAAATAAATATTTGTAGGTAGTTTCAAAGGACAAAGTAAGTCGGACATACCTCTGCCCATCCAAAGTGAAGCATTTTAGTTGCTTTTCAGATATCTTAAACTAATTAACCTGAGAGAGTCAGAAGGTTGATTTCACTAAGTGTACTTTTCAGCTCTGTGATCCACGGTGTGTGTGTGTGTGTGTGTGTGTGTGTGTGTGTGTGTGTGTTGGGGAAAGGTCCGGAGTCAAAGTGTAGGCAAATGAGTACAGACTTCTTAAAGTCTAGTTTAAGTGCTTGAAATGGACCGTGTCAAAAATAAACCACCGCTGTGTATGCTCATCAGGCTGCAAGTAGTGCCAGAAAGTGTTTCCTTAACAACATTCAGCGTACACTCTTTCTTTAAAAAAAAAAAAAGTTTAAGGGATTTCACTGAAATTTGGTCCGTTCAGCAGTTGGCTGTTTATAAATATGTGTAGCAGCCTATGTGGGAAGCTGACTCAGTGTCTGAGATTAAAGAGACCAGAAGGTTCGCGCCGGTGATCCCGGTGCAATGTTTCCCACCCCCGGGCTGCGAGGGCTCAGCGGTTGGCCGAGGTGGAAACAGGCAGCCCGTGTCCCTGGGAGGGAGGCCCGTCACTTGTTGGGGCCTCGGGAGCGCGCGGCGCGGGTGCGGCGGCGGCGGCTGGGAGCGCAGCCCCCGTCGCTCCGGGGACTGTCCGCGGGGCGGGAGCGCAGGGCGGGGGGCGCCGCATGGAGACGCGGGGAGGCCCGGGCGCAGGGAATGCACTTTTTCTCCAGCGCGAGAGACTTCGCACGGGAGTGCAGATTAGTTAGGGCGGGGTGTTCGCACCCGTCTCCTTCCCCCCCACCACAGGATCCCTTTCAGACCCTGTTTGTATAGCTTTCAAACTTGCGCTGGGGATTTTAAAGGCAAATGGGAGTTGGTGCTGTAAGCAGGGGCAATGGAAGAAAATGAAAGCCAGAAATGTGAGCCGTGCCTTCCTTACCCAGCAGACAGCAGACACACGCGGGGTAAGTCACAGAGTCATTCAAAGATGGAGTTACGGTTCCGCGCGTCCCTCGCCGCTGGCTGCGTTTTATAAGTGGAGACAGGGCTCAGGGCAAAGAAAAGGAGTTATTTCCTGGGGCGGTGCGTTTTCAGAACTGAGCGGAGAGCTGTGATTTCTTGGGTTTTTTTTTTTACTTTATCTCCGGCAGGATTTTCGCAAGTGGCGTGGTGATGTCCCTCTTGGAGCACAGTCAGCAGGCAGTGGCTGCTGTATCTCTAGGCAATGACAAATGTGTCGCTAAAAGCAGCTTTTCCTACTCCCTGCTCCAGCGCGGGAGAAAGCAGTTGTTTCTCTGGAGCCCTCCCTGGGGCGGCAGCATTCCCATTCATTGGTTGGGGGATTTCACGAGGCAAATGCATGGTGGGTGCAAGTTTTGTAGTGTCTGCGAGTTAAATCCCAGAGTTTGGGGATGTTTCATTTTACAGATCAGAACAGCCGGGGAGCCGTGTACATCTGGATGATAGGTGGGACTCTGAGTCTTCTGTGTGTTTTAATTCAAAAGTTGAGAGTTGTTAGACAATGTTGGTGAGTTTTCTTTGGGCAGTTTCCCTTTAATTGTTTTTATAATAGACTTGTCTTTTCCGTAGGGAATTTCCAGAAGCTTATGTTGTTCCAAAAAAAATTCACAGAGGGGTTGGGTAGAGGAAAGACTTATCTGCTCTCCAGAGCCTGCCGCCAGAACCTATCCTGCAGCACCATGCAGACAGCTGTTCATAAACCACCCCTACCCACCCACCCCAGGCTCATCTGGGCCCAGTTAGCAACTCAAAGTCTTGCTTTCGGGACTGCAACGCTGTGTGGGAGTAGGGATTGTGCACAGGGGAAAAGGTGTGTGTGTGTTTTAAGACTGAAGGGAAGTAACAAATGACTCATCCACACTGAAAATGCAAAAGTCAGCCAGACAGAAGAAAATGCAATTACAAGTGGTAGAGCTTCCCCTCCTTCTCCCTCTCTCACCCCCCAACCCCCCACCTCTTTACTCCCCAACCCCCCACCTCTTCACCCCCCTACCCCCGGTGAAATGCAGGAAACTTTAAGCTTAGAAACCCCTGGAAAATCCCCGAGTCTTGTATTCATCAGTCCTGGCTTCGGTTTGCACTTCCAAAGCAGAGCATTCTCCTTGAAGGCGCCTGGTCAGGAGGGTCCAGCAGGAGATAAGACTGCCTCCCGCCCCTCCCCCACCCTTATTTGATAGGACCGAATCCTAAGGCAGGAATTCAGCCTCTGGGCCTTTGCTGCAATAAATGGCTCAGAATCTAGATGGGCAATTAGAATGGGACCAATTTAAGAAATAACTTTCAAACAAACACAGCAATTGAAAGATGCTTGAGAGACTTGAGCTGGTCACAAAGAGAGAGTGTGACCACTTTATTCATTTATTCATTTGCTCAATGAATACTGAGCACCTGTTCTGTAGTAGTCACTGTTTTTAGCTACTGAGGATCTAGCAGCAAACAGACTAATAAAAGTACCTGCCTTCATTGAATTTACATTCTAAGGGCTAAGTTTGGGCAGATGGGGGCGGTAGAGACAGATAACGAGCAAATAAGTAAAATATATAGCATGCTAGAAGGCAGGATTGCTAGGTTTTGTAAATAAAAATACAGGATGCCCAGTTACATTTGAATTTCAGATAAACCACGAATAATTTTTTTTAGCATAAGTATAGTCCATACACGATTGGAACATACTTATGTTAAGAATTATTTATTATTTATCTGAAATTCAAATTTAACCAGCATTCTGTATTTTATCTAGCAGCCCTATTAAGTCTGTGGGGGAGAATAAGGCAGGGAATAGGGAGTGCTGGGGTGGGGGTGGGGGGAGGTGAAACTACAGATAGAATTATTAAGGGGAGCCTCATTGGTGTGATATTTGAACAAACATCTGAAAAAGGCAAGGGAGGGAATAGCAAGGACATGGTCAAAGAACAGCAAGAACAGGAGAGACAGATGGGAGGAACAGGGGCTAAGAGGTAATCCCAGGCCAGGTCATGCAGGGACTGTGGCAGTGTGGGAAGGACTTGGGCTGTTACTTCAAGGGCGGTGGGGAGCTGCTGGCGGCTCTGACTTGTCTTACAAAGGGTAATACTGGGTGCTGTGCTGAAGGCTTCTGTGGTAAAACAGGCAAGAAACGGCGCTAGCTTGGACCAGCAGGTAGTAGAGCATCAAGTGGTGACAAGAAATGGTCTCGATGTCCATTGAGGGTAAGGCCAAAAGAATTTGCTGAGGGATTGGATGTGGGACATCAGAGAACCAGAGGAGTCAAAGATAACTTCAAAAATGTTTGTCTGCACAGCTGAATGAATGGAGTTGCCATTTCCTTAAACCAGAAAGCACGTGAGGGGAATAAATGAAAAGGTGTTTATGGCTTGGGTTGTTAGGATTTGAGAAGTTTATCAGGCATCCAGGTAGGGATGTTGATTAAGATTTGGGTACTCATGACTGGAATTGAGAGAGGACTGGGGACTGAGAGTTGTGCTAGGATGGGGTCTGTGTGCAGAAGGAAAGGAAAGGTCGGGAGATGTGCCCTGGAACACTCCAGCAGTTAGAGGTCAGGCATCGGGGAAGGGGTGGCTGGAGAGGTGGTGAAAGGTGAATAAGAATCCAGGTTAGATTTTTAAGATCCCATAGAGTTATGGGTTAAGAATGATGCTGTGAAGGAATGTGGCTTCATTTCCAGTTTTTTGATCAGCACAAGGACCACAAAAGGGAGGCCAGGCCACTGATGCCCACATCACCCATCACACCGTATGTCCATCCCGGTCACTGCCCTCTCCATTGTATTGTTTATGTACTGTGCCGGAAGCCAGTCCATCCTTGCTGCTTGACACAGTTGCTGCAGGAAAGAAACATCTGCACAGCATATGTTTCAAGGGACCTGGTATATATAGCATACTGTTCTTAATATGTTTGCTCCCCTTAGCACTATGTTTTTTAACCAAGGTCACCTCTCCGAGAAAGGTTGTTTCCCCAGGTGGGGATTTTTCCCTGAGGTTAGGGAGGGGATACAACCCCTTAATTAAGTGCCAGGCAGGTAGTTAAGCTACATAATCTTTACTCCCTGGAATGGAGATAAGAAACGCCCTAACCTTTGTAATAGAAATTGACAGGATTAAAATCGGCTGGTATAAATACGGATGTAACAAGACAATAATCATCAGATCCTCATCAGATCCTCATCAGATCCTCATCACATCCTCATCAGATCCTCATCAGCTCCTAACCAGAACCTAGCCAGAGAACATGGCAAAAGATCCTGGACAGAACCTGGCTACAGAACTTCACTGGAGAACCTAGACAGAACATGGCAAAAGAACCTGGTGACTGAACCTGGCTGGAGAACATGGAGAACCTGGCTGGAGAACCTAGCAAGAGAACATGGCACCAGAACTTGGTTGGAGATCCTGACCAGAACTTCGCTGGAGATTCTGGAGGGAGAACCTCGCTATGCTGATGAACTGAACCCAGTTTCCATGTCATTCATTCTTCGCCGACTCCGTCCACACCTTTGGGGATCCCTGGACCCGTTGGGGTTGGACCCCAACAGTACTGTATGTGTTTCAACCAATTACAATGTGGTATTCCAGGGCACCGACCCTGTCTTCATCCTTACATTCCCAGAATCCAACAGCATCAGACATGCAGAAGGCACTGGAGAAATACTTGTTGAACAAAGGCTTTGAGTTTATCCATCTACTATAGATAAGGACCCCTTGGGTGATCATGTAACTTATTGTCCAAACTGAGACACTTTTGAGAGTGAAAGGGAACACTATAAATAATTTCTCTGAGACAACAGTTGTAACCCAGATCTCTTTTGGCAAACTGGGGCATATGGTTGCCTCAGGAATAGCTCTAATCAAAGAGATTTCCATGGCTGAATAGGCAGGTGACTAGGTAAGTAATAGGGTGAAAGTGTACTGCCAAGTGCATTGTGCAGAGCAGGCCCTCAATGATTACTGGTTGAATTTGAGTCTAACTATATCATGTTCCCTTTGGAGGCTATGGGCTCTTCAGAGTGGCCCTTGGGGGTTCCTTGGGATGCGTATATCTGCCTACAGCACCCTTGAGGGTCTGCTTTTGTCTGGCCCCTGAGACCTTGAAATCTCTATGCTGGTGAAGTGCTGCCAGCCACCTGCTTGCCTCCCCCACCTCCGGATTGCCAGTGTTTGAAGATACTTAGTATTCACTATGGTGGCAATCACTTTACAGTGTGTAAGTGCAGCAAAGCAATATATTGTACATCTTCAACCCAGACAATATTAGATCAATTACATCTCAGTGAAGCTGGAAAAAAGAAATAGAATTGGCAGACCCACAGAGTGCAAGCCTGGGGAGTCCCAGACATTCCGGTCTTCGCTCAGAAGTCAGCTCTAAAATTTCCCCATCAATCTCTCTTCCTTATCCTGTTTTATTCTTCAGAGCACTTATCATGATATGTCATTTCTATTACATATTATTTGTTTATCCGCCTCCCTAATTATAATGTTGACTCCACCATAAGGGAAGGGAATTAAGTCTCTCTTGATCACCACTTTACTATGTGTCTTAACTCCTTTCAGTGTACAGGGCAGGCACTCAGTAAATATTTTTGTGAAGAATGAATTCATTAACCAACTAACCTACAGTTGAGAAAAAATGCTTTTCTGGGTGAGGAAGGGGCTGTACCTATTTTGCCTAAAATCTATAGGATTTTGCCTAAAACCTTCCTCACTTAATTTTTAAAGTTTTTTTAGAGGAATGTAACGGCCCAGTTTTAGGTGTACCTTCTCTGCTAATTTGCATATGGTGATCTTTGTGATATGAATAAGGGAGCTGGAAAACTGGTGAAGCCTGTGCGCCCCCAGCAGCACACAGGATATACATTAGTCAGATAGGCTGATTGCTCTAACAGTCCTTGTGATTTAGCATAATCAGGGTTTATTTCTCAAACACAGTAGAATGTGGATCTCCTGGACGGTCCACCTCCAGGCTGACTCTGGGACCCAGGCACCTTCTGTAGAGTCAGGACACCATTCCCCAAGGCCTAGGAGGCTCTCCCTGGAACTTTCCACAGTCAACTGGCCAGAGAGGAGAGAGAACGAACATCAAAGATAATTCAGGAGGTCCAGGGGCCAGGACTAAAGATGGCTCACACTTCTGCATTGGCTGGAATTAGTACAGGGCCCCAGCTAGGTGAGGGGACCGGAACACACAGTCTTCCTGTGTGTGCAATGGGAGGACGTTATGGTTTGAATACATAGCAGGAGTGGGGAACCTTTTTTCTGCCAAGGCCACTTGGATATTTATCACATCATTTGTGAGCCATACAAAATTATCAACTTAAAAATAAGCCTCCTATATTTGGTCAAACATTTAATTAACTCACCCCTAATGCGTTGGCAGGGCCAGACCACATGATTTTGTGGGCCTGATATGGCCCGAGGGATGAACGTTCCCCACCCCTCTTTAGTCTGACAGGCCCAGGTAAGTTGTACAGCCAGGCAAAGCAGCAGCTCCCCATGATGTTCCTATGACGAGAGCCTCTCTTACAATTTAAAAAGCTACATCTTAGAGGCAGCTAGCCAGGAGTCACCATAAAGAAGTGACCATAAAGAAGTGACTTCTTCCCTAAGAGACTGTGACCCACCTCATCTTGGCCCGGGAGCCTGTCAATCCTGTTGCTGGTTCTCAGAAAGATACCAGGCATGTCATGCCTCAGTGATGTACAAGGCCCGGGTTCCTTGTTGCAGGTCAGCTGATCCGGCCAAAGCAACTTGAGCTGTGGCCAGGAAGCCAGCCTGGGCAGCTCCTGAGGTCGCCTGCCTGCTGGGCAGCTTGTTATGTGGATGACCCATCTTCCCGGCCTACTCAGGACTCACCCCGTTCCTCACTTCTACTTGCACTTTCCAGAATGTGTCCATCCCAGCCAGAAAGCCCTTTGGAATTCAGAAGCCTGTCTCTCTAACACTCCTGCCTTGTCCCTCCTTCTGCTCCTGGAGGGGCTGTTCTCTGCCCCCAGCTCCTGCTAGAAGTGAGCTACTGGGAGGAGTTGCTCCAGGCTGTGCAGAGGCTGGGAGGGCCCGGAAGGGGAAACTGGAAGCCTGGTCTTCATACTGCAGCCTCCTTATTTGTCTGAGGTGGATTCCCAGAATAGCAAACAACTAGACACACCCGTATTTAAATGTTAGCACCAAAGCCTTCTGGACAAGAAATAAAACTGTGTTTCTGTTTGGATGGCTTGGATCATCTATTCATGCGGATAATGAGGAACTGGCAGGACTCGGATCTCTGGTTCCATGGCCATGGAGTTGTGACAGAACGTCCTCTGCCTGCTCCCTCTCTTGTTTGTGTCTATCCCTGTTTAGTTTTCCCCCTCAGTTGAAAGACCACATTCTCTCTAAATGACTGGAATGGGAGAGTGGTCACTCTCCCTCAGGCATGGGCTTGGCAGCTCCTGAGCGCTGAAGCTTACTGAGGAAAGCGGTGTGGGCAAAGTGGTGTGGGGTTGCTGTGGGTGCTGGTGGCAGCGGAGTAGGTCCTGGTGGTGGGATGGGGGCCGATGGGGCTGACAGCTGGATCAAAGCGCAAGGCGGGAAGGTGGGACCGGAGGAAGGAGCGGGCTTCGAGGGCGATTAGATTTGGACTGTGCCTTTAGCCATTGGTGCATTAACCACTGATGCTATTTGCTGCTTTTCTCCAAAGCGGATTAAACCTTGTTAAGCAACTGGAGACATTTAGAGGAATCCATGAGACAGAGAAAAAATGGAAAAGCGAAGGAAGGTTGATGTGACCCTCCCAGTGCTAAGTGTTTGAAAAGAGTGGGGGTGTAGAGGGCCAGTAAGTGGGGGCTGCTGGGAGGTGAATGCTGACAGAAGGTTGATGCTGGCTCCACACTGCCCCTCCTCGCGCCTTTCCCAATTTATTTCAAAGGAGAAAGAGGAAAACTCCCTTCCAGCTCCAAGGGGCTACTGTTCTGGCTGTCTTGACCTCTTCCTCGGAGTCTTGGATGAAACAATAGTTCGTGTGAGTCTGCGACAAAGCTCTGCAGAGGGGACTTTCTGCACCTGTCGGTATTTGAGGCGCAGGAGTGTATACCCATGTGGGTGTGTGTGGATGTTTGTGTGTTATGCCCGTGTAAAGAAATCCCCTTTCTAGAGATTGTCCTGCTAATTAGCCTCGCTGTCCTGGATACTTCCCCTCCCCCCCAAAAAATATATTATTTTAATGAAGTTAAAAGTGATCTTAATACTCCATTTAAAAGTTAACATTGTTAGGTCAAACACACAACTTTTGGCTAATACAAAACTCATATTCACATGCACACTCAAAGGATAAAGCTAAATCTCTTCAGATTGCACACATCTTTACCAGCCTGAGATATGGCATTTTCTCCATCTAGCTTTATTCCATGGTTTCTGTTACTTCTGTATTATCAAAGAAGAGGCCACAAAAAAGGTAGCCATCTTGTGAGTCCACCCAATGAGAAAGTAAGCAAAATCAATGAAGTTACAGTTTATCTCCCACTATCTTTTAAACCAATAGTTCCATCTTCTTTGCCTTCTAAATGTACTGCTGAGACTAATGAAAAGTAGAAGAATTAAGGAGTCTGGCTGTTTTGTCCCCCTCCCTTTTCTCATCAATGTCTGATGGAGATGCTGTAATTAGCAATGTAATGAGAAGTGAAGGGTAAACAAGAAGAATTATTCCCAGAACATGCATTGAGGGACGGAAGATGGAACAGGAAAACCAGCCTGAGTTAAAATATTCTCTATGCCTAACCAAAGGGGGTCATGCCTAGAGTCCCACACACAGATGTTTCTAGGCAATGACGGAGAAAACTGTTGGTGGCATTGCCTTCAGAGGCACTAACTTACACCTAAGTCTGGACACCTGATGCTCTACCTTTCTGGCATGAATGTTTGGTTCTCTGTTTATCTGAGACTCAAATCTAAAACTCTCAAATATTGGGTCTCTCTACACATTCCTTTTAGAGATAAGTAATTGGCAAATAAGCTTGCATTGGAAACTTATTTTTAAAAAATAGTTAAGGGTACCTTTATAGGCTTTAGATCTAGAAGGCTCTTTGCATATCTAATGCTAGTCCCACATCCTCCTTTTGTTAATGAAGAGAGTGAGTCTGAGAGGTCACATTACTTGTTGGAAGCCTAGGTTTTGGCAGGACTCCTGAGACCCAGCCCAGTGCTTTCTCCAGGGAACTCGGTGGCCAAGGATGTTTTCCTGCCGCATCTGTAATATTGTTTAAGAGCTGCTCCCTGTGACAGAACCTGGCGAGTTCCTGAAGTGCTTCTGAATGTGCACTACTTTCCCTTCCTATTCTGGCTTTTAAAGAAGTAACTCCCTTTTCTCAGTTAAGTGGAATATTCCAACCTGGCACCCATTTGCCAACCATTGAGAAGGAATGGAGAGGCCCTACTCATGTCCTGCACTCAGAGCCTTGTCATTGCCTGCTTCCGTTTTGACCCTACCAGGTCAGAGGCCTCTAGAATGTACCGTGTGTCTCTTCCCTTCAGTGTGTGTTTCAGATTAAGTCCACTTCAAGTGAAATGTGTCTAAGCCTTTACTTTACGCCCCTTCAGTTATTACCTGTAATAGTATTCTTACGCTTGCTTGGTTTATGTTAATGGGGGGAATCGAACTTGTAAGCGGTTGGCCTGTCAGTTATTACAATAGCTATTTTTGATCTTGGAGATGAAACAAATGCTTCAGAAACCACCTTCAGATATAAAAATCTAAAGATCCTGTTACCAGGATGATGGAATTAAAAATAAAGAATTAGCCTGGCAGGCATGGCTTAGTGGTTGAGTGTTGACCAATTATGTGCAGGAGGCAGCTGATCAATGATTCTGTCTCATCATTGATGTTTCTATCTCTCTCTCTCCCTCTCTGAAATCAATAAAAATGTATTTTAAAAAAATAAAGAAATAATCTATTTCACCAGAGTACTCTTCTCCAATTACAGGTGAAGGTAAGAGCTAACCCAATTGCCTGCAAACTCATTTGAACAAGTGTCTCATTTTGAATAACTGCAGGGAAAGAGTCAGAAATAGCAGTTTTTTGCTGCAACATCTTTATTTCTAAAGTGTGATTTTTCATATTTCATGATTGTTGACTTTTTTTCTTCTTGATAAACACACACACACGAAATCTGCTAGGTTATATTCATACATACACAGCTGCCACATTCCCTCTCGGTATTCTGTAAATGAGATTTCTAGTGTGAGATCATTAATTAAACTATTTTTTTTTTGTCTTCCAGAACAAGGAAAAAGCAATCTGCATGTAACGTCATTAGAAGATGCAGAATGCCGAAGAACCAAGGAACGCCTTTCTAATGGGAACAGTCGAGTTTCAGTGTCCAAGGCTTCCCGAAACATCCCGCGGAGACACACCCTAGGTGGGCCCCGAAGTTCCAAAGAAATACTGGGAATGCAAACATCTGAGATGGATAGGAAGAGAGAAGCTTTCCTGGAACATCTCAAGCAGAAATACCCCCATCATGCCACAGCAATCATGGGCCACCAGGAGAGGCTGAGAGACCAGGTACGAATGTGCTACCATTTCGCTCTGCAAAGCTCATTCTTTAATGAACATGAAGGAAAGCAAAATGACCTTCGGTTTAAAAGGGGAAAAATAATTGAGTGGACTGTGCCCACCACTAAGTTGCTCCAGATCTCAAGAAGAGAGATCCAGAGAGTGGGCAGTTCTCCGAAAAGGGTCCCCATGGTCACCCACAAATGCATCTGAAGTGCAGGCAGGGAAGTATTGCTTGACTGAGTAAAGCATAGGATCAACTGCTGTGCACCCTGTTGGCACCGAGTGCTTGGCACAGTGAATGAATGAGTATATAAATACGTCTTCAGGGTAAAACAGAGCACAGAGGGATAAACTTGAGATAAACCCCTTTTCCTTAAGAAGCTGACATTAGGGTTTTGTTTCTGCTCACTTTTTTCTTTTTAATCACAGATGTTTTCCTTTTGCATGCTTGGTTTTCTGCTGTCTTCAGCTACCTGTTTTCTCAGGTTATCTTGACAGCCAGACAGATATCACCCAACTGTGGCTTGGGGTGTTTTTGTTTCTTGTCTGTGTGCAATTACTTTTTAGCTGACAGGAGGTGGGAGGCCTTCTCTGTCGACCTCACAGGCATGTTATCAGATTGACCTTTCAAGATGGGGAACATAGCAAAGGACTCAGAGCATTTAGTGATTTGGGTGGTCAGGGAAGAGGGCAAGCTGTTATTGATTTCTACCCTCCAGGTAGAGAGGCAAGCACAGTGTTTTAAGTCTGCTATCTTGCAAATAAGTTAGTTACAAAAGTGATGTCTAACTAGCTCAACTTTTGAGCATCCATGGAAGTGGAGATTATCATCAGTTTAAATTATTTAAACGTATGCTTTATCTCAATTTCATTTTTTCCCCTTAAATTCAACCTTCTAAACTATAAAATCTTTATCAGAGTGCCTAAAACCGTGACGTGCTTTATGGACTATGTGTTTGCTTTCTGTTCACATTGCCAAAAGGCAGTTGACCTAGAGAGGAGAAAAGAAATGGGAGCCCTGTTTGATGTCGAGATGTGCAGATCACTTGTTTGGTAATTAAGGAAAGGAAGGCTATCTTTTCATTTCAAGCATACATGCATACTGCGGAGCTATTGTGGGTTGGGTTCCAGACCACTGCGATAAATCTGGTCATAATCTTTTTGCTGGTAGAGAGTCTTGTCTTCCATTTGTAAACAGCACATCTGTCAAGGGCAATCAAGTGAAGCACAATAAAATGAGGTGTGCCTGTATATAGAAAATACCCCTATTTTCTATTTTTAAATTGTACTTACTTATTTTTTACTCTTCCCAGTTTTATTGAGATATAATTGATATATAACATAAATACCCTTGTTTTCTATTAAAAGTAGAGTCACGATCCATTTAAGTACTAGAATCGGTACCTCTCCCTATGTCACATTTTTGGTGAGACACCATATTTTATATAAAGCAGTTCCGATAGAGGAAACTCACTCGAAGTAGTTATAATTGCACAATTTGCTCAGAAGAAAGCTGGGATTTGAATCCAGATAAGTTTGAGCTCAGAATCCTTGTTTATTCCACTGTTCTGTAAGTGGAAGATCACTGATTATAGAGACAAGGTAGTATGGTCTATATCTGGGATGTAAGGGTCATGGAGTGTGTGTGTGTGTGTGTGTGTGTGTGTGTGTGTGTACATGCATGCACATGCACATGTGACCATGGGGACAAGGGTCAGGGTAAATGAAGCTAGAAAACTGATTATGTATTGAGTGAAGAGGGAAAATATTTTTTAATGTTAAAATATATTACTTTCTTTCTGAAATATAGAAATTAGTCTGTCAAAAATGGTATGTTTTTCATGTCAAAAATATTCCAGTTATTATCATTGCTGTTATTATTTGTGATGTCATGATTATAGCTACTACTATGATGATGGTGCTTTTAGGTTAAAAAATTACACGGGGAGCCTAAATATAGCTAGAAGGATGTAAAGGGCACATGGTGTCAGATGACAGGGAATAATGATGTAGGTTAGTGGCCTCAAGCTCTGATCTCTTGTCACATATATCTCTGCCCTGGGTGCAGTCCAGCCATGGCCTGGCAGCTGTGCCTTTGCTGGTAAATCAGGATGAATTTTTGTGTATTCCAAGCTGACCGCCCAAAAGGAGAAAGATTTTGATGCCTTGTTCTGTATATACATTTTTTATTCCACTGCTTTGTTGCAAATGAACCTTAATAAGCATTGTAAACATCAGTTATAAGCTCAGGCAAGGGTGTATGATATTCCTATGAACAGCACTTTCTCTAATGCCTTTTCCATTCTTTTTCTCCTGCCTCTCTTTTCCTTCCTCTGTCCTTTCCTCTGCTCCATGACACCCTTTGTTTCTCCCTGACCTTCTGACAATGGATTATTCCAGGCCCCCTTTGCAGGAAGATACATTAGCTGCCATGAGGAGGAATTCAAATAGCACACGTCTGATGCTCTTCTCCAGATTCTCAATACCATGTTCTCTTCTGGTATTTTGTCATCAGTTTAAATTATTAAAACTTCACCAGGAAGGTGCTTGTTTGTCAGTCTAACCTGGGAAAAAGATAATTGGCTAGAGGGGTGGAGCCACTGCTAGCACGAAAAATCCTCCCAGAGAAGTGGCCTTAGTGAGGAGAGTGCCGTTGAATAAGATGCTGAAAATGCTGTATCTAGCACCTTACATGAAATATTTTTTTAAAAAAATTTTATTGAATTTATCAGGGTGACATTAGTTAACAAAATTATATAGGTTTCAAGTGTACAATTCTATAGTGCATCATCTGTATATTGTATTGTATGTTAACTACCCAAAGTCAAGTCTCCTTCCATCACCATTTGTCCCCCCTTTATTTCCTTCTGCCTCCCTGTTATTGATGGGGTGCCCTCTGTGTCCCCACCTGTTGCAGGTAGAAGTGGAATTCTTGCGATATCAGCAAGGAGAGGAATTTTCTGAGACTTGCACAGGAGGATGAGTGATATTGATTTCTGTGGAATTAAACCCCTGGGTTTCCAAGGCCCCATTTCCCTCCATGCTGCCATGGAAAAGGCCCAGTCTTGTCTTTAGCAGTGCTAAGATTAAATCCAGTGCCCGGAGTTGCCTCTCTGTATTAAAGCACAGTCTAGTCCAGCATCTGGCTAGCTTAATTTGTGTTCCCAGCTGCAGCCCATTGCTCTTGGGGTCCGCATGGGCATGGGCCGCTTAAGGCCACATGGCAGGCTAGCACATGGGCAAGTGTAGGTCACAAGCAAGAGAGTGCAAAAGATCAGGAGCACAAGAGAGAGAACCTTTTGTTTCAGGGTTATAACTGGGAGCTTAACCCATTCATCCTTCAGGATTTTTCGTGCTAGCAGTGGCTCCACCTCTCTAGCCAATTGTCTTTTTCCAGGTTAGACTGACAAACAAGCACCTTCCCTACATCACCTGCCTTCACTGTGCATGTGCCCATCTTCCCCTTTGTTGGACCCCTTCCCCCAGTGATGTGCAGTGAATGGACCAGTGGTCCCTTAGGGAGTATGAAATTGCAGCTTCCTGGTGAAGTTGCCCAGATGACCATGCTTGTAATGTTTGGCCTCCCCTTTGATCTTTTCCTATTAATATTAATAACTAGCTAATTATGACAGTAGCACCCCCCTTTCCCTCTGGAAATAACCATACTGTTGTCTGTGCCTATGATTTTTTTCTTAACCCCTTCAACTTTTTCACCCATTACACAAAATATTTTGATACTAAGGGACTCTAGATTCTAGTCATTACACAAAATATTTTGATACTAAGGGAATCTAGATTCTAATTACTTGGTATTATATAAAAAGAGAATTAGAGCAAACTTTATATTTTGAAAATTGAATTTAAGCACTGGAAGATTCATGGTTGAAAACTTATATTCAAGTCTTTGAAATTTAGTCAACCAAGAATTTTCTAAGGTCTAAATTATTGTAAAGCAAACTAGGTTTCTTTCCATTATCTTAAAAAATGCAGATGACTATTATTGCAGCATAGTGCTTATCTGCATAATAGCAGCTGTCATTATCACTGACTCCCCCAAGCTTCTGTGCAGGGCAATCAGACTGTGATGCTCTATCACCTGGCAGCTAAGGCTTGGCTCTGGAGTCAGGCAGGGCTGAGTTGGTATCCAGCCTCCATCCATGTGCTAATTGTGTGATTTGGAGCTAATGACTTAATCTTCTCTGTCTCAGTTCCCTTATATGTCACAAGACAATAATAACTATATCATAGAGTATTGAGGAAGAAAATGATGGATCCTTTTACTGCTACAATGACAGCTCTTAGCATTATACTCTTCTGGTTTATGATGTCCTAAAGAAGAGTCTCAGAGGCTCTATTTTCAAATTAGTATTTAAATTCATTTTATTTTTTTATTAACACATATTTAAGTTACCCGAAAAAGTTTATTTTTCCTATTGACAGAACAAAATTGTATTATATTTCTGAAACTTACTTTGAAAACTTAAAATTTGGATTTCTTTCACTTATTCATTATATGTGTGTGTGTGTGTGTGTGTGTGTGTGTGTGTGTGTGTGTGTGTAAATATCTATATACCAGGTGTACCGGTTAATAATGCAGATTTTGTAATCAAAGAAAACATGATAATTTCAAGAGAAACATCAAAAGTGCTTTATTTAAAGTAATGTCCATTGCTAGCTACACATTTCCCCCATCTTTCAGGTAATTTGTGGATACCGTCCCAATAGAACTTTTCTTGTTTTGAGGCAAACCATTCAGAGACCCAATTTTCCACTTCTTTGTACGTTTTGAAGTGCTGCTCAGAAAATGCGTGTGCCATGATCAGAACAAGTGGTAATCTGAAGGAACAAGCAAGGTCTGGTGAATACAGTGGCTGGGTTAATACTTCCCAGGCAAGATCTTTTAACGTGTCTTTAACTGGTTTTGAAGTGTGTGATGCAAAATTACTTTGCCGTGTCTTCTGGCACATTCTGATCATTTCACAATCAAAGCGTGGTTCAAATTGATT